CCTAATCTGGCATAATTTTATTCTCTTCTAAACATGCAATCTAGAGCATCTAAGAAGCTTGTTAACATTTCCTATTCTACAACCAATCATCAGCCAAAACCAACCTTCACTTTGACTGTATGCATTGCCTTCTCCACCGCTGCATTCTTTTCCTTGATAATCATCTTATTTCAGGCAACAAACAGGGTATTTTAAAAGTACCAGCTATTTAGATAATTGCAAAACCAAATACTTTGGACAGTACAGTCTCCCATTTGTGAGCAATCATGACCTGACTTCAGGGTATACTAACTGAAAACAGACTATCCAGCAATTAGGTTATGTGATGTAGTATTATTTAACATAATCAGAAACATTACAATTGAGTGATAGGCAGAAACGTAGCTCAGGACTAAATTAAGGTGATGGAGAATGACTATCTTTCTCTACAGCGACTCCACTTTGGAAAGCAGAACAACATTCTCTATACAATCCTATGTGCAGTTTCCAAAAACCATTTCAGGAATGATTTCTTTGCAAAATTTCTTTCTCCATTACCTGTTTTCCTTCCTTCTAAGCCCAAAGTTATGCTAATACTCTTATGGATAACAGTAGAGCCTCCTATACTATGCTTATCATTTATATCGTTTGCCAAAAGTTTCTTAAAACTAAAAGGCAGGGAGCCTGTGCATTTTTGTGTTTGCTTTTTGCTTTATTTAACGTTTGGGCTTCACCTGTTTGTCTTCAAATCAGCAAGTCACGTAACACTGTATTTTTGGCACTTAGCAGCACAGGATATTTTCCATGAGGCAGGTCATGATTCAACTCACTATTTATTCTAGAGGATAAGACCTATAAACTAGCAGGTCCATTCATACATACTCTGCCTTAATGTGGAAGTCTCAGATGACTGGAAGGCACCCACAGTATACAGTGCATAGGCACAATGCAGCACTTTACAGCTGTGATACTGTTCTTCAGGAGAGTTTTCTTATCAAAAGTACCAATATATTCACAACCAATGTCCTTTGTTTTCCTGAAGTTCCAAGGGTCTTTGTTTTGCTGCTATGCCTGAATTGTCCTTCCTTTTCTTCTGGAAAGAAGCAACATCTGTCTACTGAAGGTGAATAGCATGCCAACAACCCTTAACACTGTTTTTGAAACATCCTGAGGCTGTAGATGCAAAGAAGTCCCAATACTCCAGCAGAAGCTCTCTAGCTCTCTTCTCTTGATCCCAACTCTGCCTGAGCCCTTTCTACCACCTTTCACAATAATAAAGTAGGTCATGAAATGCATTGAAATATTATTTTGACACCACGTAGCAGGAATTTGTGCCAAAAAAAAACCCCAAACAAACAAACAAAAAAACCCAAACACGGAGTGAGGGTAAAACAAGGAACTGTAGGTTGGGGGGTTTTTAATGGAAGGAAAGTCCCAGGAGTCCACATTTATCCTCACAGGTAGTCAGCTATTTTGGTTTCCTCCTCTCCCTAAAACCAGGGAGGATTGTGAAAAACAGCAGAGAACATTCAGACTGATGACAGTGTTAAAGGAATGGAGGTTAAATTTCAAGCCCCAAAGGTAAAGCAAACAGAAGGGGGCAGGCTGGCAAAGAAGAGATAAAAATAGAAGAGTGACCAGACTTCACTTGACTACTATTTCTGGATCAACTACGGAAAGAGATCTGAGAAGGTTTTCTATTTGCAAGGGGGAGAGAGACTAAAACACAGTTGCCTTCTAGAAGGCCACAGTCGTACACAGCAGTTTTGTTTATGCTTCTACTTTTCTAAATCCCTGTATTCTCACTCTTTGGAAACAGTGCTGTTCAGCCAAAACATCATTGTGTGTCTAAGTGAGGAACCAGATTAGATTTTCTGGAGCAGGACAGCAATGCGTGTGGCATTTCAATCCAACAGGAATAAAGCTGACAGCACATTGTAAAAGCGTGTAGCAAATCACAGTGCCAAGCAGAGTAAACTAAGCCACATAATACTTCAGGAACATAACCAAAGCCCTGCAGTATCTCTGAGAGGATGTCTTGTGTTTTCCCATTCCAAAATTATTAGTGGAATTCTAACAAGTTTCAATTATGGACACAGACTAAAGACGACAACAGGGGCCTCCCAATTACAGTCTGTAGTGCTTGACTGACACATGGCTCTGGGGATGAAAGTTTCTGCCTGCTGGAGCCCTTTCCTCTTGAGTTAAATTTCTTTCCATTTTGCAATTTCTATCCAGATCCTGGCTGTGCTGGCTTTGTTCCCATATAAAAGAAAACCTGCAGGCAGAAAGCAATGCCATCTGCCAAGTCAGAAGCTGCTTTAATGGGCAAGTTTGGTGTGAAGGGGAACAGACTATTACGTGTTATCTTCAGCAGTAGGAGCGATGTTTTTCCTTTCCCAGGAGTAGGTTATAGTGAGCACATTCATGTCCGAAGTATTTGTCCACAAATACACATAGATCTCAATAGATATTGCACAAGCAACCTCCAAAAAAAAAAATATCCATCCAGCAACCCTTTTTTCCTGTTCAACTTGCAATTCAATCTTTACATTTCTCTTTACCTGTCAGACCAGTTTTTTTCTGCGACAGCTTCATCAGCCTCCGCTTTCTATTCCTGTAGGTGAAGGATAACCGCACCATCACACCTAGGAAGTGTGAGCAGTGGCAGGCAGGAGTGCCAAGGCCCTATTGTCCCTACACAGAGAACCTGCACTGAAGCAATTTCTGAATGTTTTTTTTCCCCAAGTTTCTTGTTCCTTCACCATAACTGTTCTGAGTAGGTGGTTTGCTCTGAAGTCTCATCTGGAGCAGGTTTGGGACTTGTGTGGCTTGGTTCAGGTTTCACAAGAAACAAGGGAAAAATTTCCTCTGAATATTTTCATCCTTGCAAATATCTTCAGGGCTAGGAAAAGATCTTTGTTCTTGCCAATTAACCAAGCAGTTTTTACCTTTCCTTGTTGGATAATCTTCTCATTAGACCATCTTTAGAGAGAAGAGCTGATTGTCTCTGGGCTGCTGGCAGTTTTACTTAATTGCATATTTAACTTTTTATTCAGCACTTTAAACTCATAATGATGAGAAATACATACACGCAAGCAGCAACCTATTATCTGCCATTTATACTCCCTAGAGAACCCATAAACAGCTTAATATATCTGTCCCTTTCAGAAGCAAAGTGCACACATTCCATAGTGGGGGGGAGGCAAAAGAAGGGGATGGCAAACACACATATATAAAAATTTCAGTGATATATTAGCCACTATTGACAAAACTCTGGTTTGGGAAGAGGCCTGGTGCTTTGGTCCTCAATATGTTTGAAAAGTTCTGGAAAAATCATCTAACTCAATCAGTGCTAAAGAGAAACTGGTATTAGAGGATCCACTATAGGTTCCTCCTCCCCATCACACAGAGGTCATTCTGTCAGGGTACAGCAACTCTCTTCTCCCCTTCCCCAACTCTGAGCACTGAATTAAAAATGTATTTTACAGATGCTAGTATCCATAGGAATGTATTTCCTATCTTAGTCCAGAGCTACAGAATTTGCTCTCAAACACACTTGTTGCCAGTGGATTGTGCTCTGGAATGACAACTTCAATTTTAAAATGTTTCCAGCCCTTATGTCTGCAAAAACTTTGTAGTATGAACAGTCCATAACCAGCAACAAAGCTGCAGAACTCCTCAGAAACAGCAGAACCACTTCACTACTAACTGTTATCCTTCATCACAGTATGCTCAGTATAGAAATTAAGGTTGATAGCACTTCAGAAGGATCTGATTAATGGATCACCTCAGAGTTGTAAAAACCTGACACACCCCTATGCAGGCACAAAACGCCAGTCCTTCCAGTCTGTTTGCCAAAACCTCCAGTTTTGCCACGATAAACTTCTGTGAGTCAGCTACGTGAAGCTAATACAAAAAAAACAGTGTGATAAATTAAATGAGTGTTGGAAACGTGAATAATCAGCATGTTATTGTATTACAAGCTTTTCTAGTTCCTCTGTTAAAAATCTTTTCAATACACAAAGCTACCAGACATTTCCAGTCTGCTTTATCAAAGTGCAAAGGCTTTGCTAGGGATCAGAGTTCTAGCTTGGTGAAGGTAAGACCATACCCAGACCTTGGCAGACCTTCCAGCTGACCACAGCAGATTTGTCCTCCTGTCAGCAAACACAGAGTATGAGGTGTACAAAAAGGAAGAGTACCTGAAAGCCTTCTAGACATCCCAACTCATCAGATTAACACCAGTAAGGACTCAGTAACATTCTTAAGTAATTCTCATGACAATTACTTCATCTGGTTTTCAGTCTTACCATCCTGGTTCTCACCTGAGCTGCTTTTTTCTAACAATGTGGTTTAAAAGCATCAGGGAAATCTTCAAGTTTAAAAGCTGCAGAGCAAAAGGTAGGTTTATGTTCTCTAATGAATACTTACTGCTCCATTTATATCACCATAAATAACTACTAAACTTACTTGCCAAGACTGCTGTAATCAGTGCTTTTTAGGTAATACCCTTCTATAAATGAATCGCAAAAATAAAGAAGAGAGTAAGTGAGTAAACAACTAGAAATGCTCCCTAAGAAAAGTCTTCAGAGGGAGGAAAGCCTGAAGATCAATGAACATTTAAATACTTCCCAGTTTAGGCATATTTCATTGCACAAGATCCAAAATAGTTTCTTTCCCAAGTATTGCATAATATGTTCATTCAAAATCTAGCGAGTTTTCTTACACAGCACACCAAGACACTGTTACCTCCCCCACTTTTTTATCTTTTTAAATATGAATATGAGAATTTCACAGCTGATACCATTCTTCTGGAAACTCACACAGAATGTTCTGGAAAAGACTCAAGTTTGGACTACAATGTTGTAAGTAACAGCAAACATCTCCATATATTCAAATTCTTCATGCAGGACTTTTTGTGAAATATAAACAATGGAACAAGTAGCTATAACAGGGCTTTGGAAGTGAACTCTGACCTCCAAACCATAAATAAGGAAAAAAAGAAAAAGCCTACATACCTTCAAAGCACATTTCTGGCCTGTCTCCCTGTTGAAACACTCCAGCACTTTGCCATTGATTCCTAACCCTAGCACCCGTTTGGAGAGTTTGTAGTCATCTGTAACTGCATGTTTTTTTATCTCTAGTTTGACATGGGCTGCTCCCCCAGGCAAGGATTTCACGCTGCTCTTGCTATCCACGTGACTCTCTGGCTGGGATTCCTGTTCACCTTCACTTTGTTCCATATCAGGGAAGAGTCTGAGATGACAGAGATACCCAAGAGATTCCCTGTGGGTTATCCTCAGCAGAGTCCCTCCTCCTAGGCGATCAAACTCAGTGTTTCAAGCAGTTCATTTGCTCGTCATTTAGTCCTGAGTAAAAATGTAAATGAGTATTAGTAATTGATGTGAACTCACTGTTCTCCCACCTAACCACTTTCTCTCTTCCTTTCATAACGAGGTGACCAGGTGCTAGGAAAGACCAAAAGTGGTGGTTCCCCTCAGGAAAGCACACTTTCTTTAGTTTCACAGGTCAGTCACCTCAGTTCCAACATACACAGCTATGAGTCCGCAGTTAGAAATTACTGATATTACTGCTTTTACCGCAACAAGTGCCTGCACCAAGTCTTGGACTAAAGCGTCACTCAGCTAAGCTCTGTACCACAGAGCAGAGATGTCCTCTGCTTCGAGGAGCTTATAAACCTGCATCAACAACTTGTTGCCTCAACATTTTGTGTCGAAATCTCCACAATGGTTCCCTGCCTCACCCCCACACTCCAAGTTATGCACGAGAACCACGAATACCTGGATTAAACCCCAGAGTGGCACTGCCACTGCTGGGCCAGCACTTACACCGGCCCACAGAGCAAGGGGCAGGTGTGCCATTACTTAGGGGACCATGAAACCACCCAAAAACCTCGGGTACACGGAGATGCAATGGCATGGCTCCCACAGCCACGGAGCTGCCTGGCCCCGCTGGGCACCAGAGAGCCTCTGGCCCCTCCGGGCACAGCCCCGGGGAAGGTAGCGGTGCCAGGGCCTCCGAGCCCCGTCAGCACGGCTGA